GACCAAAATGTATTCTCCGCTTTGACTCATCACAGTCGCCTCCTTCGGCTGATAACAGCTGAACACTTGTGTCGTTCTTTCTACACAGAAATCAAAGTTGTTCCCACATCTGTTGCAGAAGTTCCCATAAATGTGTGGCACATTGTTTTTATTTTAATCCAGAACACCTGCAGAGATCAGTAACACCACCGTTACTGCAGAAAGCTTTAAATCTTTCACCCGTTTTGTGTTCCCTGGAAAAAGGACTTTTGTATGATTGTGAAATACACACTATTTTTCATTTTGCTGTAACCTTTTAACCTCTCATCTCTTACCTTTTGTACCGTTTCAATTCATTGGACTTGAACAACTTGAATTGCAGTAAAACTGGAAAAACGAGGTGTTCTCCAGCTTTTCACTGGCAGTGTTAACATGTGATAGTTTAAACACATCATTACTAATTTGTCAGAGACAAATGCAGAAGCAGTGTATGAATAAAATATATATTTACAGTGTCCATGGAAAGAGGTGCAAGTGGCAGCCAGGTTCTACTAATTAACTGCACTTGATCAGTTTTGACAGTTTTCTGTTCTGGAGCATTCAGGTGTGTGTTGACACAAAGATGACAGAATAAAAGACATCAGCAGTGATTTCAGGGAAATATTGTTGTTGCCCATCAATCTGGAAATGGATATAAAACCATTTCCAAATGATTTAAAGTCATTCTGCAGTTAGAAAGATTATTGTCAAATAGAGAAACATTCAAAATAGTCACCAGTCTTCCCAGTATGTGCAAGTCTCAATTTCACCACAAGGTCAAACTGTGCAATCTGCAAAACATGCAAAGGCTTCATCTTCTGGTCTACAGGACTCGGTAAGCATATATGTTTTATTTCAAACATATACAGTCACCAACATTTCATAATATCATGTCATGCAGTTGTTTGAAAAGTAAGCAGAAGTATATACTTATTTAGCCCCACGCCCTTAGGTTTACATCTTAATCATTTCCTCATCATCTAAATTTGAACAACAAAACTTATACAATGGTTTTGACTTAGAACATAATGTCACAAATATTCAGCTAAAACTATGTTTAGATTTACTAATTTGCAAAGGAAAGTAAACATCACTTTGACTGACAAGTGTCGCCTTTTTTACACCTCTTCTCTGTAAACATGGCAGCATGAGCTGCATAGCTGGACTGGCCATCGGGCATACCGGGCATTTGCCCGGTAGGCCGCTGGCGATTTTTTGTTTTTATGGGCCGATCGATTTTTTTATTTTTTTTTTGGAAGGGTATAAATAATGAAAGGTGTTGGATTGGCCAATTGGTCATGATCGACTCTGGGCTGGACCAATTACAGCCGAGGAGGTCGGATGCACCCTCCCCCTTGTTTAGCAATCTTATAGGCCATCCAT